CTGAATGTATCAAAAGCATAAATAACAAGAAACATGTTATTTAAAATGTTCCACGAAACGTGAATATTGTTCAAAAACGTGTACCGGGAATGCAAATTCCATCGAAATTGTGAAAGCTCAAACATCTGCGGCCGTAGCTGTACGTGTACACGCGTACACGTGCTCGCGTGCTTTCGGCAACGGCTTTGTAAAGAGAGAACTCCGTAAATACTATTAAAATATGTACGAGCCCAACAATTGCTCCCGGCAATGAACGCTCGCGTGTATACTTAGTTTACATGTGTCACAAGTTTTATTTAACGCAATTTACTGAATCAGACATCTGTCTCTAGTTTTAAGTAAAGGCAAGCTTAAAGAATCAGTAGAAAATTATTACATTTCCTTTCTTTGACGTAAGATAGATTGTCACTTCCATGAGGTGCACGTGTTTCGCTCACGAGGTATCTTAGGACGTGCGTCATCAACGAGTAGCTATGTAAACAAAAGCCGAACTGATTCGACTTGAGTTAGTTTGAATAATAATGGCCAGCGACTTCAGCATACAAATCATTCAGGTTGAACAAAGCAACGCATTACAACTCAGTTGTTTGCTACTTCTTCTTGTTGAATACAATTGGGTTGATTTCATTTCTTATTTTAACCAATTGCGCTTGTAAGTTTATTTGTTTAAAACGCCATACGACAGACTGAGCTGTTAATCGATCAAATAAAAGCGTGTTAAAAATGAAACTTATCATGCAATCGGAAGTTGATATCAACAGCAATTTGAAACAATCAGCGTACATGATGGCGATGACGATGGCGATCAGACTAACGCATTGATCGCCATCATCACCATCGCGCACGCAAGCTGGTCGCTTTGGGAACCAAATTTTATTACACAGTTTAAAAATATCTTGCCTACATTGTTTCTCAAAGCTTGTCCATTTTAGTGGCACTTGACGCTTAATTTTTGTTACTTTATGGAGTATTTTACAAAGACAGTTTTTACGCGGTCGGTGCTGTAATTTTTAATTTAAAATGGAGCCATTAAAAACCGCAAGATACTTAATGTTTTGAAAACAAAGACGAAGAGTGGCTCGGAGGGCCGTAAACAGACCATTAGCATAATCGGACGATTCCGGGCGTCGGGTGCGGCCTGCGCGGGCAAAGGCGATTAATCAGGTAAGGGTGGATGCGAAAACCAAAATGATTCTTGTCAATATATTTGAAATTTTGACAGTCTAAGAAAAAAAACGAGAACCGCAAAGCGGTGTCATAGTAGATTATGCGCGATGAATATGAAGGTAAGTGTAGGATTATGACATCAAGTTCAAAAATCACGATGGGCTAGTTTTTCTCACCTATAAATTGGTGTGACTCGATTGTCATAAATGAACTGGGTCTGAAAATACTACTTATTATGTGACTTACTACCTGCCTCAAATATCAATAATTACCGAGCTTAAACGAATATTAAGAAGAGATGGCGCAGCAGGTAATGTCGGAGATAAAGCGCGTCATTCGATAATTGTATCAATATCTTTCTTGCTTTTGTCTCATAACTGTTCTGAGAATGTCTTATTAAGTGACGATGACAGCCCTGCGAGTGTCGCCCGGCAAAGGCGATTAATTAAAGTGTTCAGTCAATAACATTTTTGCCGGCGCACTCAAAGGCCGCCGTCTGAGAGGCCGTCCTCCACGACATTAGGGTTGTAAGCTTTGAAAAAAAATGTTTTGCTTCATAAATGTGTTCTACGGTTATGATAAATAAAGTAAATAGGTAAGAACCGACCAACCCCATTTTAACTAAGATTCTGATCAAGATGAACAATCTGACCAATTAAAACGCGATCTAATTAGAACACTTTACTTCCTCTAACTACCTAATTGTCATAATCGAGATAAGAGTCGCTTAAAAAGAACAAGTCGATCGTTCGATTGGATTTCATGCAGTCAGGGTGCAGCGTGCACCCCTGCGCGTTAATTAATCTTTGGAGTCGCCGCTCTGCAGGGCTGCCAAACACTTAACTATTTACGAAACTTCGGTTTCGTCAACTTCAAGTCTTGTTTAACAAGATGGTAGACTTATTATTACTTGTACGCATGATGCGATAGAAATTGATTTATAATGATTGTTAAAACGTATTAGCCACATAAAGCCACAGAGAAAGTGGCAGACGTTGACCTTGGGCCGAGATAATTGGCGGCATTTAGAGGAGACCCTTGTCCGGCAGCGGCTGCATTCTTTCTACGTTACGGCATTATTCATGTAATAAGTAATGCAATAAGCAGACAAAAAGCATCATGTGGAATAAAAACCTCCTGATTAATCTTCGAGGTAGCTGATCAAACAACTGCAGTTGTTGCAATTTCATCATTTATACGAAGTTGCTATATAATAATATGCATACACGATATTTTTAGTTGGTTTTACGCAATAGTAATTTTTAGTCTATTGAAATAGTTTGTTTTAGAGGTAGGTGCACGGACTAGGTACTGTGCAAATTCCTTAATCCTTCTCAAATGAGATACCGTAGAAAAGTGGTTTCAGGGTGCAGACCTCTCTAATTTTAGAACAACACGCAATGTCACCAAAGCCAATTATTAACAACAAAGTTAGGTATAGCCACTAGGACAGTGGTCTAGATCCGTAGCCGTTAAATGAAAAAAAAAAAAGAAAAGTTGTCCTTTCTAATCAGGTACCATATTTCTAGTCTTCTTGGTAAAGAACGGATGTTCCAATGAGCAATAGCGATTTAGCCGGTCATCCCTGCACGCTAATGAACGTTCGGCGCGACGCGGCGCGCCTGCCAATTACTTACCACGCGCAACTGCTAACCCATCCGCTGCCAGAAGTGGGTCACGGATTTATGGCTGCACGGGGCAACTTCTAGCTAATGATAACTATTTTTCGGAAGCTAATGATATTAGTACGAAAATGCAATAACTTACGAAGATATCGTATAGCACTAATAATCTGTGCCACCATATCAGTTTTTAACTGTTTCTTGTATCTTTGAGACAGACTGTAAGAGTCGAACTATGCGCTTAATAGGACTTGCAATTGAATTTTACTAAAAGCAAGTAACTCTTAAATTTTACACCTAAGACATGATTTCAGGGCTAAACAGAGTGATTTTAGAAAAACAATTTAGAGTGCCAACCAACTATAAGCAAATGGCCTCACGTTGCTCCGGCGAGCTTTAGCGGCAGTTGCTTACCGCCCGCGCCGCTTCCGCTATGTGGAGCACAGAAGTGGGTCACGATTGTACAACTACTGTCTCGCTAATTGTGACTACTCTTTTCAGTAAAGACTAGCCAATTGTGTAAAACGGTGAAGAGTTACGCTTTTAGTGAACTTTTGTAAATTAATGTACCTTATCCTCTTAATCTAATATCTAGACGATCACTCCTAAACCATACCCCAAACAGTAAACTATAGTTTCTCTGTTCGTCCCACCGAGAGCGAATTTGAACTTAAGTGTTAATAAGTTATGTTAATAGGTACTTAAATTACGTCAAGTCTACTCGTACATCAATAATGGTTATGTAAAACTTTGGAAAATGAGTATGACATCTTATGGGTTTCAGTAAAGTTAAATATTGTTATCGTCTTGTTAATTTATGCAATTTAAACTTTGACATCAATTAACTGCTGTCTCATATTATGTGCGTATCCCGCCCACATAATCTCATTTAGGAAAAGCGTGAGAGAGTCTCCTAAAATATGATATTAATACGACGTACGCAATAAATAATTACATATTTTAGAATACCCCTGTAATCAAGTTTATTTCAAACAACTTTCAAATATACTGTATAACAATTTATAAATGAAATCTAATTAGAAATAAGTATTTAAAGATATTTTATTCGCTGTTAACTTGTAATGTTATTGGTACCATTTTGGTAACTTATATTACATCTCTTTTGTCAATTTTCCTCTAAAATTCATGCTTTTTATAGATTCAGCTTAAATTGTTTAACTGTGTAGAACCAGTAAATTGACCTTATAAACACAAATGGCTGTTCATTGTTCTGTCCATCAGCATTAACGTAACGTACATAAATGATTCCTGCGTTACTCATTAATTTGAATTTTTCAGAATCTGCGAAAGCTACGAGACACGAACGAACGCTGGCATTGGCATAGGACGAAGGCATTGCGTAGCAATATCGCAAATTTCACTAACGAAGAAACTTTAGCGTTGGCGCGTGACAAGGTGACTCATTACAAAACCCGCAACTCGGAATCTCCCTCTTTACCAAGTTTCCGATGGTATCTGACTGAAGTAACCATAAAGACAGAGTCAAGGGTTCTTTCCTCACGGGCGACCAATAAAGAGCAGTCAAAGTAGGTTAGATTATAAGGATTTATTCATGCATAAACATGCCAGTATAATTTCAATTGATTAAATAAATCGTGTTAATTTATCTAAATGAATAATTCATGTTTTTACTAACAGTCTAGGTTAATTTTGCATAAAATAAAATACCTTTGTCAGACACAGCTTTATAATAAAGTTGTGTAATGATTTTAGAATTAATATTGTATTTTATACGATTATTAGTTGCTTATAGATAGTTATTGTAATAATTTTGGTAGAATTTAAAAACCCATTATTAAAATTAAATACTTTACTTGATTACTTCCTGGACATTGTTGCAGATATTATAATGGTTTCAGAATTTATTCTGTATTATATTCAATTACATATTTCATGTTTATTATTTAATGTAATTATTTTAGAATTTTTATTGTATACAGTTTAGTAATTTAGAAATAAATTGTTATTTAAGTATTGATTTTGACTACTTCCGGGGCATGCTGTCGATAAGTCGTTTCGAGCCGGTTGACTTTGACGAATGGAAGGGGAAGTTGCCTTATCGCGGGCATGCCGCCGGACAGGCAGTTCGATTGGAGCATTCAAAGCAAGAAGTACTAACTTTAAGGTGTTATAATGTTGGAAATGTATAAATTAGTATCTTGAATAAATAAGTAATTGATCTAAAAGTAATTTTTTTTTTTTTTACTTAGTCATTATTGGCCCGGCTATGCCCTACAATAAATGATTGCGAAACATGAGTTAATCACTATCATTAGCATCAGCTTGTGTTACAATATTTATATAGGTTCAGAATATACGGAAATGGAATTCACAGAATCTGTTGAACTTGTACATGACCTAGTAGCATGATAGTTGACATATTCTGCAGTCAAAGTACTAGAACCAGCAGTATCAATTTCAGAAGTGTCATTACAACTTTTAAGTGTGAAACCTCTCAATATACGGAAGAGTTGGTGCTTATCGTTCACGACTACAGAATTAAGTTCAAGCCGAATTGTATCGTTGCATTGAGATAAAACTGATACCACGAAACCTGTGATAACGTGTTCGGGTAAGTTAGCGTCAGGAATTTTTTCTATAAGTCGCCAAAGGCGCAAGCCTGCCTCGGCTGGGCTGTCCTTATTACCAAGGCGAAACTTAATTATTTGGTCAAAATGATCTTGCATCATCATGGGTTTGGAAAAATTGGAAATAAGCATGTCCTTGATGGCAGGCCAAGAAATTTTGTCAGGTTGTATTTTTGTTAGACAGGTAGCAGCACGGCCCTTAAGGCAGTGTGTAAGTGCGATGATCAGGTCAACACCTTCTATATTCCTTTTTTCAATAATCATTTCGCTTAACGTGCACCAATTGGTGATATCGGACTCAGGGGCATCTGGATCAAAAGATACCAGCATTGTTGGAATAGATGAAGAGCTCTGTCGTGAACTCATGCTATCTGCAATTTTGCGGAAAATGGCCTCCATGCCAGAGAAAAGAGACATTTGTTGTTGAGACATTTCACTGCTTGTGTCGGTCTGACTATAATGTGGGGGTGGAGCCGTATCCCACTTCTGA